CATGCCCTGTTGAGGGTGTTTTCTCCCTCTCCCTCTCTCTCTCTCTCTCTTTCTGCTTCTCTCTGGCAAATTAATATGTATATGTATGAACTCTGGTTCTTATTGTGGTTCTTGGAATATTTTTAAGCTTCAATTTTCACTTCCTCATGCTAGCAGATTGGCATCCTGAAAAGATGAATCTATCAAATAACTCACAATCTTGCTGAAAAATGTATTTCCAACCCTTATGCCTTCAGAATATATTTTATTTTTCTTTACAGCAGCCAATACTTTCCCAACACACTGAGTCTTCTTCCAATGTGAACATGTCTCATATTCTCTTCTAAAAGGTACCCATGTGATCTCTCATCCCCTTATTCCTTTAGCTCATTGCTTGTATTGCTGTCTTTTTCCATAAATGCAATCTTGTCTTCTCTCAGTAAATATGATTCTATTCATTGTTTCTGATCCTTCCAGGTAAGTGTTAATGTCTCCAGGAACCTTCTCCAAAACTGCTGATCATGCAGTCCACCCCCTTGCTTGTACAATCACTTTTCTTATTCACTTCCCCAAGAAACCTCAAGATTTGCATTATTTTTCTGCTTACTGTCTTGGATTCTATTTTCTTTAAAAAAAATTATTTTTTTAATTCCATTTGTTATTATTTTTTATTTTGACCAGAGAGAAACAGAGAGTAAGAGAAAGAGATAAAGCAAGCCACCAGGTCTAGGACTCAAACTATGGTCAGCCATGTGGAAATCCAGCACCTTTAACCACCATGTCACCTGCCAGCCCCTTGAATTCTATTTTCTGAGTATTTGTATCCTTCCTTAATGATTGGGAACTCCTTAAGGAAAAGTTTTCTGCTTTACATAAATCTTCTATAGTAGAAGGAAAGATCTTACATAGAATAAACATGCCTACATCTCTGTGGTAAGACTGATATTTCAAGCTTGTCACTGTTAATTTATTTTTGCTGATTTTCATATCAAATCACTCACTGTATAATATAGAAGACAGAAAAATGTATAACATAGAGGTCAAACATATATGGCATCCCTTGTTTATGGCCCCTTCCTCTGTCTTCAAAGGTAATTAATGTTGATTTTTCACATCCCATTTCTGTGTCCTCTCTATATCATATCTCCTTCTCTTACTTTGAGCTCTTCTGCTTTTCTCTCTTACTTTTAAAGACAATTAAAATTACTTGGGATCACCGAGATAACCCAGTATAATTTCCTCATTTTGAAGTCACCTGTTTAGGTGGAGGATGGAATGGTGGTGGAGCCACTGGACTCCTACTTGGTTGACCGCAGTTTGAGTCCCTGACCCGGCAGCTTGCTTTTTCATTTTCTCTCTCTCGGTGAGCATGTGTATTCTATTGAAAATTTAAAAATAATAAAAATAAATAATTGTTTTAAAATAACGAAGTCAGCTGTTAGCAATCATAATTTCCCTTTGCCAAATAAGTAGCATATGCACAAGTTCCAGAGATTAGGATATACTTTATTTTATTTTAAGTTTTTGCCATAGGTACATGTGCTCACTGGAGAAATACAGAGCAAGTGAGAAATTTTCCTCCCACAGAAGATGGACACACCACAATCACTTCTCCTCCATAAGTCTCTTGGAATTTGCGGCATGCACACACACATGCCTGGCATGATTCTCAGACCACTGGGTCTGGGATTCAAACCATGGGTATGCATGTGGGAATCCTGCACTTTAACCACCACTCCGCCCAGCATGTAGATATCTTCTAAAGATTCTTTGCTTTCCTTCTTACCATGAAACCTCTTTATGCCACTTGTATTTCTTTATCTATCCCTCAAGACTCCTACCACTACCTCAGTCAGATCCATTGGCCCCTGATTTTAATGTTGGTGCTGAGTTAGAAAGCCAGTAGAGGGACTGAAGAGATTCTTCCAAGGATAAGAACACAGAGATAGAAGCAGACCAGCAAATGGCATGATGTTACATCGCTGAACTCCCACGTAGTCAACCATGGTTGGATTCCTGGGCCTGGAGGCTTAAAACTCACACCAAGCGTGTATGTGTGCATTCCCAATATCCCAAGAGGTGAATGGAGAAGGGATCACAGCATGGCCATCCCCCATGGAGGGTGATTTCTTGCTTTCTGTCTCTCTGTCTCTGCAGCAAGCACACATGCCCCTACAGTAAAAATCTGTCCAAAAAAATTTTTTTTTTATTTAGAGCCCTTTGTATTTCTTGGGTCTGGATCTGTGAATGCTTCTCTAGCTTTAGGAAGTTTTCTTCCAGGATTTCATAGAATAGATTATCTATGCCCTTATTAGTCTCTTCACCTTCTGGGATACTGATTATCTGGATGTTTGGATGTTTAATGTTATCTAGTATTTCTCATATGTTATTCTCATTTTGGGGGGCTATTTTCTCAGCCTGTGTGGTGGGTTTTTCTAGCTATATAGCCTCAACTAGGTGCTACTTGATAGTATATTCCTTCTACTCACAGAGTTTCATGCCATTAGTCAAACATGTGTTCCCAGATATGTATACATCAGCAGAACTTGCTATTGAAAGTAGTTAGATTAATTAAGATATTTTGTGACTCAATAAAATGTGGGGAGGGGGGGAAGGAATGGAAAGCATGTACAGATTCCAGAGACAGTGTGAGAGGAGGGTGGGAAATGGCAGAGGGGGAGAAATAGGGGGAATAAATAAATATATATAAGAAACAAGAAATGTAAATTATTTGTTGACCATATATGTATGATTAAGCCACTATACAGTGTGTTCTGTATGGGAAATCACATATTGTATGCTGTGATGATGTTAAGTGAATGAATGTAAAATGAATAAATAAATTTTAATTTAAAAAGGAAGAAAGAAGCACAACATAATTGAGAAAACAGACTAAGGGAAAAAAGATATCTTCACTCCTGCATTTATGACAACATTGTTCAAAATACCCAAGACATAAAATCAACCCAAGTATCCATCAAGAGATGAATAGATAATGAAAATGTGCTATAAAATCATAATGGAATATTAATCATCTTTAAAAAATAAAAAAAAACCTTGTAATTTTCCTAAAGGACATTATCTTAACTGAAATGAACCAGGATCAGAAAAACAAATACCACACAGTCTCACTCATATGTGGAATTTAAAAAGTTTGTCTCATAAAGACAGAGTAGAAGGTGGTTACCAGGGGCCAGAGTGGTTGGGGGAGTGTTGAAGTTTGGGAAGATGTTGGACAAAAGACAAAAAATTTTCGTTAAAGGGGCCCATAGGTGGGAACCAGCAGTTAGCGTAATGGCTATGTTGCTGGACTCCCACGTAGTCGACCGCGGTTCACGTCCCGGACCCGGTGGCTGGGCACATGTGCGTGCATGCCCAAAATCCCAAGAGGAGAATGGAGGAGAAGGGATTGCGGCATGACCATCCCCCCTGGGGGGTGATTTCTCGCTTTCTGTCTCTATGTCTCTCTGTCTTTCTGGTGAGCACACGTGCCCTATAGCGAAAACCTCTCAAAAAAAAAAAGAAAAAAAGGGCGGCCCATAGGTGACATGGTGGTTAAGGAGCTGGACTCCCACATGGCTGAACACGGTTCAAGTCCCAGACCTCATGGCTTGCTTTCTCACTTTCCCTCTGTCTCTATGTCTCTCTGGTCAAATTAAAAAATAATAATAAATAAAAATTAAATAAGTATTTTTTTTAAATTCCCATCACAGAAATGGAATAAGTTTGAAAGATCTGTTGTACAACATGGTGATTATAGTTAATACAATAATATATCGTATTCTTAAAAATGCTAAGAGAATGGATATAAAGTGCTCTCACTACAAAAGCAATAGTCATGTGCAGTTATAAATATGTTAATTAGCTAGATATTTTCTTTTGGCAATGTGCTATATATACTTAAAAATATAATGTATTGCATAATAAATACAATGTTATTCCAATTAAAAATTAATAATTCTTAAAAAAGATTAATTTATTGTGAAGACATATCATTAATATTATTATTGCATTTATAGTTCTAATAAACCCATAAAATAAAAAAATATAAGATCACTTGAAATCTGCAAACATTTGTGCAAAATACAAAAATTTGGGAGGGGTCGGGGGACAGCAGGTGGCATGGTGGTTAAGGTGCTGGACAACCCCACATGGCTGACCACAGTTCAAGTCCTGGACCTGGTGGCTTGCTTTCTCACTTTCTCTCTCTCTTTCTTTCTCTCTCTCTGGTCAAATAAAAATAAATGAATGAATAAATAAAATTTAAAAAAACATTGGGGAGGGGCTGTAAGAGGCATAGTGATTAACATGCTGGACTCCCATGTGGTAAACTGCAGTTCAAGTCCTGGACACAGAGGCTTGAAACTCATGCTAGGTGCATGTGCATGCACACCCAAAATCCCAGGAGAAAAATGAAGGAGAAGGGATTGCAGTGTGACCATTCCCCCCCACCAGGTTATGTCTCACTTGCTGTCTCTCTGTCTCACTCTGTCTCTGTCTCTCCAATGAGTGCACACACTCTATAGCAAAAATCCTTCCAAAAAATAAATAAATTTGGGAGCCAGCAGGTGGCAGGTTAAGTCACTGAAGCCCACATGGAGTAGTGTGTAGTTCATGTTGCAGACCCTGAGACTTGAAAATCATGCTGGGTACATGTATATTCATGACCAAAATTTTAAGAGAACAGAGGAGAAGGGATGGTAGCATGGCTATTTACCCAAGGAGGTGACTTATCATTTTTGGTCTCTCTCTCTCTCTGTCTCGGGCATGCTCATCTTCCCTACAACAACAACAACAACAACAACAAAATCACATAAGAAAATAATGCCCATATATAAGTAAATGCATAAATAATAACAAGCATCATTTTATTTTATTTGGCATTAGAGTTAGTTCCATGTACAATCAGTTGATCACACTGAAAAAATAAAACAAAAATTGTTTTGCGTGGTTAAGCAGGCTCTAAAAGGAAACTTTAGTGCTTTCCTCATTTTGAAAATCTATGGTCCATCCTCTGTGTCTCATTGTATCTTTCCCAGTGAAATCACCTTGAGAATGGCCCTTCGGATCTGCTGGGTCTTGATGCTGTAGATTACAGGGTTCATCAGGGGTGGGAAGAGCACAGAGACAGTCCCCATGAGGATGTGCACCAGGGGTGAGGTGTGGCGCCCAAATCTGTGCACAATGGACAGGCCCAACACAGGCACATAGAAGCAGAGCACGGCCAAAATATGGGAGACACAGGTGTTAAGGGCCTTGAGTCGCTCCCCTGCAGAGGCAATGGCCAGCACGGTGCGGAGGATGGTAGTGTAGGAGAGCAGGATAAAAAGGACATCAGAGCCCATGGTCAGCACAATCATACACAGTCCATAGAGTCTGTTGAAGCGTGTGTCAGAGCAGGCCAGGCGGATCATGTCCTGGTGAAGACAGTAAGCATGGGAGAGTGCCCCAGGGCGGCAGTAGTCAAATTTCAATAGGTTCAAGGAGGGAGCAGCTGTGATGACAGCACTCCGCATGCCCAGCACAACCCCAACCAATGCCACACGAGGACCTGTGAGTACAGCTGCATAGCGCAGTGGGAAACGGATGGCC